CCGGGTCTCTCTGTACCGCAGGCTGACGCTCCAACCGCTGAGCCAAACTGGCCACGGCTCCTCATTGATTTTTTAAGATAGAGAGAGAGAGAGAGAGAGAGAGAGAGAGAGAGAGAGAGAGAGAGAGAGATGAGAGAGAGAAACATTAATGTGAGAGAGACACATTGATTGGTTGCCTCCCAATTGGGGCCAGGGATCGAACCTGCAACCCAGGTATGCACCCGTGAACAGGACTCGAACCCGAAACCTTTTACTCTACAGGACTACACTCACACTGCTGAGCTAAACTGGCCAGGGCAGTAATGTTCAATTTTAATATTATTATTCAAAAGTGATGCCTTTCATAAGCTGTTGTAATGTATGTGTGCTTGTTCCAAGGGACTTTTAGTGGAATAGAAAGAAATTAAATGCAGGCTCATCATAAAACTTCTTTTCTAAAATAGAAAGTCAGAGCAACCATAGAAGGGTCTAGAAAAGGAACACATTTCATGAGAAAGCAAAAAAGAAAGAGAGACTGACTACCCATGGAAAGAAAGACCAGAGGGGAGGGAGGGACAGGAACCGCAAAGACCAAAAAGTCTTACAATTTTGATATAACAGTTGCTGAGAAATGAGGCATAAACCCATGTGAGAACATGTAAACTACCTTCTTCCCCTGTCCTCAGCTACTTCTAATAACAGGCTTAACCTCAGGCTGCAAATTGTGCCTTCTCACTGAAATGTAGTTCTCTCTGTTTGAAATTATGATCTCTCCTTTGTAACTATTAAAGTGTCTTTACTTTTCCTCTATGATATTAACAACAACAGGGTCACATCAAAGGAACTGTAAAGTATGGACATTTTTCCTCCACGATACCTCCACAAATATCACCATTCCATGGGTCCATTACCTCATTATTTCTTTACCTTGTGCATAGCCCAGGTTTGGTTTTTATCTTTTTTTTTTTACATTGACTGCTATATCAGATGTATTGTATCTTTAAAATAGCACCTTCAATAAAGGATATAATGTCACTTGCAAACAGCTGAACACAGAATCTGATGGAAACTTCATTAAGTGCCCCATGATTCAGGGCCTTCCTAGGCTCAGGTCAAGAAAGTGGCTAACCACGCATTGTGACTGTGGCCAGAAATGCCCCTTCCCTTCTTTACCTGTTTGCTGATGTCTCTAATCCCTTCAGCAGTCACCAAATTTTTTCATTCCATTGGTAGATTTACAAGTTACAATGCCAATAGGCTGAAGAAGAGGCAACACAATGATGTTAATTAATATGAACTGATTGCATGTTCTGAAGGTAGAGAGACTGGGGACGGTAGGGAGGAGAGAATCCCACTGAGGAGGGCAGAGCATGGAGAGGGCAGGCTGGAGGCAAAGGTACACTTTGTCCATCTGATGGAGCTGCCCCACGCCGGTCTTGCTGAAATGGAGCACCAGCAGGCAGCAACTTATGCGGTATCACATTAAAAAGGACTTATTATAAATGGACTACCTTATCCACTCTGTTAATATGTCCATAAAGTCAGGAACAAATGCCATCCAATTCTGAGTAGGCATTAGGCTTCTCTATTACAGGCAGGCTACTTACTTAAAAAACAACAACTACTACCACCCTCAAATGTATATAGACACAGAATTACTAGAGAGCAAAAAACAGGTAATAAGGATGGCAAAGTTTAAATACATTCTGAATCAACCTGTCATTACCCCAAGGGTGTGCCCTGCCAGTGTAAATTACAGACCTCAGGATAAAGTGACAGATGACTAAGGATTAAGTCAACAACCAAAAAATGGGCTGAACTCCAAATAGATGTCACTTTGGATTCAATTTATAGTATCTGCTTTTCACTTTATAAATACCCTAGCTAATGTGTCTCTCTTCACAAATGGATTTTATATCTATCCTTCAGGAGTCAGCTCATATGCCATGATCTCTTGGATAATTTCTGGACCCCCCAAATGGAAGTCTCCCATCTCTTTAGCACTCCTATGCCCCCCTCCTCCTGGCCGTGTCTGAGCCCATACTGTAACCTACCTTTTGTTGTAGCTTTCTGTGTCCATGTTTTACGGTCCTATTTTAACACTAAGCTTCATGAAGGCAAGACTTCCACAGCAACCTGTCTTATCTATAACTTATATTTTACTTGTTTAAAGGTTATAATTTTTCTATGATTTACATTTTCTTTTTAGGTGTATAATGACTGCATTTCTCATTTTCCCACAAGTTCCATAAAGCATGGAGTTATGTCTATTCTATTTACCACTGTAAATATAGCATAATTTCCGGCATGATATTTAGCATATAGTAGACGTTCAGGAAACATATTTTAGTTAATATATTATATGTTCATACTTTTCAAATAACCCAACAGACATAACTTATACCTAATAGGATTTCAAGTAATGGCTCAGCACAGTAGATTTGAATTGAATGGACTAAACCTAGAGACACAAGCACACTAAAGCCACACATAAAAACACACATTTGGAGTAAATCCTGAATAAAGAAGAGAGACTCTACAACACCCCAAAATCAGTGGACCCAAGAAGTTTTTTAGAAATTGCGAGAAACTGCATTTTCTGCTTAAAATTCTACTTAGAGAATAAGGTTACTAGGTTTGTTTTCTTTGTTTTTTAAGAAAACAGGGAAATAATCCTTTTACTTACAACCCAAAATCTAAAACCATTTAATCTGGTCACAGAGAAACTGGGATTATAGATTTCTAACTAAACTGTGTCCCCCCTGTTCTATAGAAAGATGTTCATGGAGATCTTCAACTTTATTTTTTATTTTTTTATCCTCACCTGAGGACATTTTCCCATTTTTTTGTTCAGGTAGAGTGGGAGGGAGAGAGAGGAACAGAGAGAGAGAGAGAAACATCCATGTGAAAGGAACACATCGAGTGGCTGCCACCCGCATGACCGACCAGGGCCAGGGACAAACTGCAACCGAGGTACGTGCCCCTAGCGGGAACCGAACCCGGGTCTCTCAGGACCGCAGGTCGACACTCTAACCGCTGAGCCAAACCGGCCAGGGCGAGATCTTCAACTTTAAATGTATTTGCTGAGGGAAATTTTTATCACTACACTAGATTTCTAGTAAAATTCACCATGGCCCTAACGATCTAGGAACCCTAGCAGACTGTTTGAAAATGGAATCTCTGATTTCTCATCCTGCGATATCACAGTAGAACTCATGGGAGTCAACTGGTCTTAGAAAAAAGCCTTGATGAGTAGTGGTACCTACGTGACATGTGGGGCAATCAAGCTTTGGATGTGAACAGATGTCCTCAGAACATAGCGGACGCTATGCCATGAGAGCAAACAACATCACTTACAACAGCAGCTGAGAAACAAAGTCTCTTGTTTGGCTTCATTTGCATTGAGCCTGCAATGGCCATCATTCCAGCCTTCTTCTCTAGCTGGGCAACTAAAACTCAGTAGTACGTGTGCAAAAGTGGCACTCAGGACAGTTTTCAGAGGTATAACAGTAAACTCCAACTCTGCTCTCCAATACCTACATTTAAACTCCAAAATTCCATACACGAATCACCAAGCCTAGGACCTCTTAGCTCCTACTTCCTCAATGCAAATTTTCTTGCCCCTTCCTCAGTGCTCCCTGTAACACTTTAAATTGTATCAACCTTTTTACATTATTTCTCATGTTCTAACTGCATCTGTCCCTCAGACATGATTTGTTTTCTAGAGGGCAAGCATCATGTCTTATTTTCTTCTATTCCCCTGAAATCCAAAATAGGCATGGAGTTGGGTTGCATCAAACCCACCCCACCCGCATCCCAGTTACACAGAGAAAAAGAATGCATCTCACATAATGGACATGAGGGCCTCAGTAAGAATTCACCCACTGATTACTATGTTCCAGGTACTGCCCTGCATGCTAGGGATACCATTAAAGTATAAGACCTTACTATCTAGGGGACATTAAGTAGATAAACCAATACACAGAAAGATTATTTTTGATCATAATGGGTGTTATGAAAAAAATAAAAATGAACAACGGTATGAAGAGTGATTGGGAATGAAAAGGTGGCCTGCAGCACTAGACCTTTCAATTAAGACCTGACTGACGAGAAGGAGCCAGTCATTCAAGGATCTGCAGGGGGGACGTGTCCTAAAAAGAGGCACTAAACTAAAGCAATTTTTGTTATTGGTGGGAGGGCTATAGAGGGAGATGGTTGAGCTGGTTAATTGCTAATTCTCTCCACCATCTATATCAAAGAAAGGTACCATCAGCCCTCCTTCACTCTGCATATTCTTTTCACTACCATTTCCATTTTCTTAACTCTGCTCCCTGATTTCCATTAAATTACAAGAACATGCACCTCTACCAGCGGCAGACATATCTGGGGCCCTCTTCTAAACTCGAATCACATAAAACACCAAACAAAAATCCATTGAAAAATAGAAGCTGAGAGTATTAAGATGTAGCTTTCATTCTTATTAGGTCCATCCAATTATTATTTATTTTTATGACAATTATATCTCATTATTGGTGCTGGTTATAGTCAGAAACTAAGTTATAAACTTGCCCATCATTTGTTTCTTTCCATATTATCTCATAGGAAGTCCTATTATGGGGTAAATATATTTAGCAAAGCAGCATACTTAACTATACACTAACATTACAAAAAAACAGCAAATGCATCTAAATAACATCTTCCAAGGTAAGCATAAACATTTCAGTGAATAATTATGCTACTTATTTTAGTACTACAGAACTTGAAATTTCTTCATTCTTATTATCATGTACTTCATTGCAAGTATTTATTTATCACAAACTGCAATCAATAAAAGAAGGAAGGAGAGACGAAGCTACTTCCTGCATTGTGACAAGATTGTCCAGATATCGTGCCTGGAATACATCACAAATGACATTTCTAGTCATGTTTCCAATCACTTTTCCATTGCAATCTGGAAGCTGCATGCCTTGCAGTCAGCAAAAGCAGCCCAGGAAAGGATTATCACACAACATGTACTCTACCTGATGTCGTCTTCCGTTCCAGCTGAAGGCATCTAGGTTCTTCTTGGGATTCCTCTTCTTCCTGAGTTCCAGATCCACAAACCAAAAAATATATATATAATAATAATAAAGATAAGGAGAAAGTAAAATAATGCATTCATGTACAGCAATACTTTTGTTGATCTACTAATTAATATGAGATCAACATCTGAAAAAATTAGACAAAACCCTTTTAAAAACTGAGACTTTGGAGAAGCAACACGCAACCATAGCTCTTGAGTAGAATAACTATGGGAGCACTGGGTTACAAACTGCAGGGTGCCATACGTATGGCTGTGTCTATAAATGCTGCCCCTCAGTCGTACAACCCAGGGACCTCTGTAACTAATACATTTTGGGGCCTCAATTACTTAGACATAGTGGTGATGTGTTTATCCATAAAACAGAAATCCTGCCAGTATGGTAAAACATAAGAGAATTATGTTTTAGTTTTTATAATTCAAAGACTTTTTAAAAATTCTATCACTGTTCACAATTGTTATTTTTTAAATGTTTATAGCAGCTTTATTAGTAACAGCCAAAAACTGAAAACAACCCTGATATCCTTCAGTGAGTGAATGGTTAAACAAACTGGTCCATCCATACCATGAAATACTATAAAAAAGAATTTACTATTTATACATACAACTGTGATACATTTCAAGGGAACTATACTAAGTAAAAAATGTTAATCTCAAAAGGTTACATACTACATGATTCTATTTATATAACATTACCAAAATGACAAAATTAGAGAGATGGAGAACAAATAAATGGTGCCAGAGGTTGGGGCTCGGGGTAAGGAGGGGAGGTGACTGTGGCTATAAAAGGGTAGCACAAGGGGTCTGTGTGGTGAAACTGTTCTGCATTTTGTGGTGGTGGTCACGTGAATCCACACATGCGATAAAATTGCATAGAACTGAATACACATAAATACACAAGAAGAAAAAGCTCAAGCATTGAGCACAAATATTTTAATTCTCTAAAATGAAATTTTCTTTAAAGAGTTCCCTTGCTCTCATAACACACTTTGAACATGTTATAATCTTCAGTGATAAAGGCAAATTTCCATTTGGTTGCATCCTCCTTGGAGTACAGAATAAGACCTGCAGAATCTGTTATTTTTATCTCTGGGAAGATGGGTAAACATACTCTCTGAGTTCTGGTATGATATTCTTTAATGACAATTGTCACTGCTGTAGCATTAATATACAAGTAGATCCAGCTAGGAGTAAGGGAGGTAAATTAAGAGGAATGTCTACATTTTTGAATTTTGTCTTCAAGATGGCTTTATGCTAATTTCTTCATTTATTTGTTCCTTCATTGACTAAATATTTGTTGAATACCTATTATGGGGCTATTTCTATGGGACCTTAATCTTTAGGCAGGATCCCTTCCAACATCCTTTGAATTATATACTGCAGGCAATCGCTACTCAGCTTCCTTCCTGGGTAGGCACACTTTCTGTGCATACTTTGTTCCACCTAAGAAGTTAGCCTGATCAAAGATATTCTGAACCATAATAAACCATATAGGTATGGGTTCCATAAATGACACCTGAAGCTATTCTGAAATCAGTGTTGCAATGAACTCAAACGCTGATATTATCCATCATAGGAGCACTCTCTAATTTGTTAAGTTTGCAGTTCCTTGGCAATATCTCATGGCTGGTGATAAGAATCCACCAGTCTTTCAAAGTTAGTTAGTAAGAGTTGAAAAACAAAAATGTCTTTTTCTTTTTCTTTTTCTCCTCACTCGAGGACATATTTTTTTTTTGCACTTATCTTCAGGTAGAGCAGGAGGGAGAGAGGAAGGAAGAGAGAGAGAAACATCAATGTGAGAGAGACACATTGACTGGCTGCCACCCACATGACCCCAACTGGGGCCAGGGACAAACTGAAACCGAAGTACACGCTCTTAGTAGGAACCGAACCCGGGTCTCTCTGGTCTGCAGGCCGACGCTCTAACCACTGAGTCAAACCAGCCAGGGCCAAAAATGTCTTTTTCAATTCATAAAGATTAATTTCCTTAAATCACGATCAGTAGCAACTCATAATGGAACTGATTTCACCTGCCTGGGAACAAATTTTTTTTAGAGATCAAAAGTCATCTTCAAATGTTCATCATCAATGACCAGTTCCAAAAATTTGTCCTGCTTTTAAAATCCATGAAATAGCACTGTCATGGGCAATTTGGGTAAACAAATCTTCAGTTCAATTATCTCAAATTTATATGTTGTAAGAAATTTTTTACAAATTGCTTTCAAAATTGTATTTCTTAGAAGGATGTGAGTTTATACCAAAAGACACATAAATGTTTTTTTAAAGCCCCATCATTGCACAGCAACTAAATATAGCAAATAATTTCTTGTTTCACAAGGCCCAACAAGACAATATATAATAACAACATGAGGAGCTATTTTATAATACAGTCATAAGGAAAGTCTCTTGAGATGCCAAAATAACCCAAATAAAGTTGTTTCATAGATGAAAGTGTTCTCCTTTGAGCCAATAAGACTGTTTACTTTTTTATTGCTCTGAATTCCAGAATGATGAAATAACTTAGCCCTTTCGCTTTCCTCCAAACATATTTATTACTTCATTTTAAATTGCCCCTCCCCCAGTTTTCTCATAAATTGGTAAAAATTGCAAAGCCCTGGAATCATCTGCAGATTGAAGGATATTTGGAATATTTTTGACTGGAGAGCTCGCAGCATAGAATAAACAAGCATCTGTCTTTGATAGTATAAACTATGCTGTAGTAGTGAAAAAAGGCTGAGCTCCTTAGATTCTTGTGTTCTCTTCAGTGCAAGTCTGTGATTTGCTGAATTTTTTCTTATTGGCTTTTCCCAGTGAAGCTAGAATAAAATGACAAGAGGCCAACTGTAGCAGCCATCTGTTGGTTTTGCTGCCTGGCATTCACTCACTCTGTCTAGTAGGTGTGTCCTGATTTCCTCTTTAAAGTCACCCTTTCCCACTCAGTGAATTGTGATTCCTATAAAACAACTCCATGCCCTGGACAGTCCCCTGATCCTCTATGCCAGGAGTGGTCAGTGACTGAAGTGCATTTTCCTGTGATTAGTTCACAGTGGTCATGTGACTCAGTCAGGGCTGGTTAGAGATATTCTCTGGACTTTTAGGAATGAGACTCCTATTCTTACCCACTGATCCTGAAACCTGAGACAATTGTGAAGGTTGGAGCTGCTTCTGTCACTTGCAGCTGAGACAGAAGTCCACACAAAGGAAGGCAGAGCCAAGAGATGGACTGATACAGAGGCCCCATGACATCATTTGGGCCCCTAATCCAGTCATGCCTGATGCAAGTTAACCCTGGACTCTTCAGTCTAAATCAGAGATTACAATCCTTTTTATTTTTTTTAAACTACATGGATTAAATATATATATCAAAACAATTTCTGTTGGGTTTCCTGTCACTTCTAACAGAAAGGATTCCAGGTGATACTTTAGTTCTGGGAAGCCGGAGTGGGGTGTGCTGATTATTGACTTCTGTACTTCACACGGCATCTTGTACTTCACAACCTAATGAAATGGAATGTGACAGGGATGATGCACTGAAGAGTTGCTCTTACAATTTGGCAAACAATTGGGCTTCTCATTTGTTTTCGAGGACTAATTCCAAGATGTTTTATTAAGAGGTCATGAGATTTGTATACTTTATGAGATGGTCAGTGAGGTGTGGCCCCAACAGGAGGTAGAAAAGAGGTTCAGGAAAAATGCAAAGTTCATTACACTCACAGGTCCTAGAGAAGGAAGCATGGCACCCCTCACATAGGAAAGACACTACAGTAGTCAGGAGTGGGAACATTTAGACCACCAACTTTCTTGGGGTTTCAGAGGGTAAGCCAAGGCAGGGAAAGCCCATCAGATAATTGTACATGCAGGGGAGCCCAAGAAGATGGATGGTGTCACTCCTGCCTTAACCACTTCAGCACCTCGCTCTGGCCAGCATTGAGTCCATGGAGGTTATATTCTTCATGAGCAAAACTGTAATTCACTAAACTACCCAAGGTTGGGAACACTGGGGCCTTGAGCAGAGGTTTGCTTCATTCACTATGGTACAATAGAGTGCTAAGTGCTTTTCTTCATCTCTGCTTGTAGGAAACTTAAATAACTACAACAAAACAAGGAGATGCACTGGATCTCATGCTTGTAAACTGTAGTTCTTGAACTTAGGTGTGTATCCAAATCACCTGGAGGACATGGCAGAAATACAGAGGACCCAGCCCTTTCCAACTTGACAAGCCTGGGCCTCTGGCTTATTTTATTAACTCTCCCAGTGGTGCTGATACACGCCCAAATTTGAGAATCACTATTGTAAAGGATGGAAATTGGGTCTAGTATTCAGGTGATATTATTCAGACCTCTCATTTTCGCAATATTTCCATTTGTTTATTTCTGTGAGCTTATCACTTCTCAGGCTGCTCCTTCATTGTATGGTCAAGGCCAGTAGAAGTTCTGGGGCCAAATCCTTTCAGTTCATTGAGATTTCAGAGCAGTGTCTCTGAACCCCAGTAGACAGAGAGCTCCTATCAAAGGGGACAAGGAGTGACCCAGTTTCTGCATTCATAACCAGAGTTCTAGGGGAAGACTATGATTGGTCCATCTTGAGTCACATACCCCAAGTTACAAGCACATCTCTATGAGGGAATGGGGACTATAATTTTCCAGACCCATATCACTGCCCATCCCAAGAGCCACTGTAGGGAGGGTGTTGCAGTTGGACAGCTCAGAGTATAGGGAAGGTGCAGTTCCCTAACAGAAGGAAGGCTGTGTTCTGAAGTGGGGGAGGAAAGGATGCTGGCTACAGTGCTGTTCAAAATATGTATTCCCAAGAGGACTGAATTCTCCAAAACCACAAGAAAGAAAATGCCTACTGCTTATTTAGTGCCCAGAGTGTAACAGGAGTTTCAAATATGTTACCCACAACATGAGATGATATTAAAAATATTTAACAGCATCGATGGTACAGACCACCAGGTACTGCAGGTCCCAGGGGTACAAGTCTTAACCCTTTAGCTCAGGG